GATCCATTATCTCTGGAATTTGGTCCTATACCTCCAACCTTTCAGAATATGTGGAAACATTTTTACAAATCCAAGTAAGAAAACTAAAGTCACATCTATGGGATACTATTCAAGTTATCAATAGCCTGTCAGAGATTAAATGATGATTTAACTTTTGTCACTGCAGATGTAACACAATTACAAACAGTGATTGAGCACCTTCAAGGTTGTGAGGCCATATAATACTCACTAGTGATCTATTCGGATCTTAAGATTGAAAATTGAAATGTTGTTAAAATGTGGTGCGTTCATACCAAGTCACAACTTTTATTTATTTATTATTGCCATTTATATAGTGCCAACAGATTGGGTAGTGCTTTACAATATTATGAGAGGGGGGATTTAACTATAAATAGGACAATTACAAGAAAACTTACAGAAACAATAGGTTGAAGAGGACCCTGCTCAAACGAGCTTGCAGTCTATAGGAGGTGGGGTATAAAACACACTAGGACAGGAAATATCATTCAAATAAGGTGGGAGTGAAGCAGAGCTGGAGGAGATAGTAGAGTGCTGCCCTTTAGGAAATAGCAAGAGACATATATGTAAGGTAGAGGTTAGGCTGGGAAGCCATAAGATTTCCTAAAGAGATGGGTTTTAAGGCACTTTTTAAATGATTGAATGCTAGGGGAGAGTCTGATGGCGGTAGGCAGGCTATTCCATAGGAAGGGAGCCACCCGGAAGAAGTCCTGCATGTGTGAGTTGGCCATATGGGAGCGAGCAGAGGACAGGAGAAGGTCACGGGCAGACCGAAGAGACAGAGAAGGGTTATACCTATTGACCAGTGATGAGATATAAGAGGGGCTATAATTGTTCAATGCTTTATAGGTATGGGTTAGCACTTTTAATTGACTCCTATAAAATACAGGAAGCCAATGTAAGGACTGGCAGAGGGATGAGGTGTGAGAGTACTGACTAGAGAAGAAAATATTCTGGCGGCAGTATTCATTACAGATTGTAGCAGGCAATATGGCTTTTGGGAAGACCAATTAGGAGAGGGTTACAATAATCCATGCGGGAAATTACTAGAGCATGCACAAACTCCTTGGTAGCATCTTGTGTAAGAAAGGGGTCGATGCGGGCTATGTTTTGAAGATGGAATCTACAGGTTTTGCCAACATACTTGATGTGAGGCTCAAAAGTGAGCTCAGAATTAAGTATGACACCAAGACAGCACGCTTACAAGGATGGACTTATGTGGATACCACTAACTTGAAGGGAGAGCGGAAGAGGAGGAAAGGCAAGGAGCTCAGTTTTAGAGAGAAAGCAGGAGGACATTCAGTCAGAGATGGAAGAAAGGCAAGCAGTGACACGTTTATAACTTTTTCTAGAATGATGTCCAATATTAGTTGCAAATTGAGGAGACAGCTATAGTAATTAGATTTGTCTGGAGGTATGCCAATAATTTTGGGGAAAATGGGAAGATGAATGTATCTGGAAAATTGCCCTTTTGGCGCTAACAAAGTTCTCTGGCAAAGTGTTTGTTTTTTTTATCTGGAAAGGAAGTGAAGAATTTTTGGTCTTTTACGGAATTTTTACATTTTAATTTGAAATTTACCAATCAAGGAGCCAAAAGAAATTATTAGACCTACAAATTTATATTAAGAATAATCTAATTCTAAGACTTTCAAGAAGATGGTATCATGTAATACTTTTATTGTCACTAATAGACACCACAAAAATACTGGTTAGATAAAACACCTTAGGGGCAATTTAGAAGACTAAAAAGGAACTGTTCTGAATATGAGATTTGTCTTCTCCAAATGCGATTAAACAACAATTTCAAGACAAATACAAAAGAAAAAAAGTCCTGCGCTCTTGTATGGCAGCAATGACCATAGTACACATCAGCCCCAATACATACAGTAAAAACCAAAGAAAAAAGTTACATGTGCTCTTTGCCAAATCCCTATAGTTAAACAAATGGAGGTTATTTAGTTACTGCAATGGCCATTAGAGAGAAATGCCCACGTGTCACGTCAAGGCAAAGGTTAACCATTCACCTTGCTTCCTTGAACTTCTGTCAAAAATATCTCTAATGAGATGTGTTCCTTGAGCTTCTGTCAAAAATATCTCTATGAGATGTGTTCCCTATTAAGGGTTAATAGCATGTAGGGGTGTATATAAAAAATACCCATCTCTGTCTCATTAGAGCATTTTTTTGCGAGAATCTCAAGGTTGGTATTTTATGATAGAAAATTACAAAAATCATGCAAAATCTAAATGTTTTTCAACTGTGAAACCAAGATTGTTTATGTAGGACATGCGAAGAGACCCCTAAACATTAGAATTGGGGAACATCTTAGGAATATTAAGAAGGGTCTCATATCACATAAACTTTCCAGACATTTTTACCTAAAGCACAACAAGGACCCTATTGGTCTAAGATTTATGGGTTAACAGAAAGTCTCCCATCCCCCCCCATTCCACCTGATGCAGAGGAGGAGTCTTAGAAAGGGAACTTGATAAAGCAGAATATTTGGGGATTTTTAAACTACACGCTCTTGAACCTGAAGGCTTGAATATAGATTTTGAGTTAAATGCTTTTCTTTGATAGTGGTTTTAGGTATATCAGTTATATTTAGTGTTTGTATACCGTATACATATTTTAAATACAGTTATTGGGTTATTTTACATGCTGTGTTTTACATTTAATGCAACTTATTTATTTCAGTTATTGAATATCTTATTAAATATATTTACCGCTTTTGTATATAACTATATATAGCATTTTTAAAATAGTTTTTGCAATTCATTTTTATTATTATAATTGATTTTTACTTATTCAGTGTATGTTCTTTCACTATATATACATATATTTTATACACATATGATATTTTATCACATGTATTAAGGCCGTTTGGCCTGTATTTTTGGGAGGAGCTTAAATTAATTCACTCCCCTATATAAGGGACACCACTTACCTGACTCATATCGCTTGAGGTCAGCATCAGAATGATTTCCACTTCCGGGTCATCCAGACGCCATTTTACCTGATTACTCCATGAGGTTTTCTAAGCTAAGCTGTGTCAGGAATCAAGCCACAGGCTTTTCCGGCCTACCACCTTCTTTCTTCAATCATCGCCGTGGATGGTGTCCAAGTGACTCACAAACCGTAAGTCGACCTACCCGTTACGCCAGGCATCAGTCCCACGGCACCATGCACGGGTCAGGTCCTCAAGTCTGTTCTAAAACCATTGCATGTTCATGCATATCATTCGTTTAAACTCACTTGTTTATATCTGTCACTGGCTCATTTCATGCATTAGCATACTCTCGAACGGGAACACATTCTGTTTCAATTGCCTAAACATAATAGGCAATTCCTTGCGTGCATTTCAAATCTCACTGCTCATTACATTTTATTTCCCTGACATACCAGGCTCACGGTTTGTGCAATTTTCTACCAAACGGGAACTAGTTCATGCATTTACTATTGTACTACACACACGTTTTGTGCGTTTACAACACTTGAACAGAACTTTGGTTTGTTACAATGAATGTTATTAAGCTATTATGTTCACATATTGTATATTGTCAAACAGGTTTGGATTAACCCCTTAAGGACACATGACATGTGTGACATGTCATGATTCCCTTTTATTCCAGAAGTTTGGTCCTTAAGGGGTTAAAGGGTATTTGTACCATACAATCAGCATTTCTGACCCTTACTGGTTAACAGCAAAACTGTCTTCACATGTCATATACAATTTACCAGCCAATATAAATGACACATAAGATTGTTTTAAACATAACCATAAACCATAAATTAAACTCCAGCACGGGCTCAACTTCAGGTTTCATTCACAATAATTTACATTTCACATCAAGACCAACAGTGGTTCTATCAACACTGCCACCTACAGGTCTGTCAAGTACATTGACAATTTTCATGGGGTCTTACAAACACCAAAACACTGACCCCTATAGGTCAACAGACAAACAACATTTCACATACCAATCAGTATCCAACTACACTGCCACCTATAGGACACTCAGCAGATCTCCAGTGCACATGCATTTTGCAACACCATGTTCACTGACCCCTACCATTCAATAAGACATACAACAATTCACATAGCAAGTAGTATATCAACATCTGGTATAAATACATATATTATTACACAGTAGCAGACGCATTTGTATATACATAACTGGTAACATAGTTCACATACATTTTTCACAGCACGCTGCTCACACAACAGACTTTCCCCTAGCAAGGGGACATACAACATACAAGGTGGGGACAGACCACTTTTTCACTTGTACATACGGCACTTAATGGGTTAAGATTGATACATATTTAATCATTATGACTACAATGTTTAATATTTACACATCACGGCACTTTACTTTTCACATATACTGTACGTATTAAGATAAGCTTGGTCTATGCCATATTTCCATATGCCATACGGTTTTATCCATTCAGGTTACAGTTACTACTAAAAAACCTATATGCATTGTCAGGTTCAATACCATACTACCAGGTACATACACCTGCTCACGTAGTTATCCATCTCTTACCTTCCCTGGAATAGTAATAGCGTACTGGCAATTAGGGTTCTAGGGCCCAATAGGTATTACCCCCTTTTTTCTCTGCATTATGCTTCGGTTAGTGGTCCCGCGACACCAACACCCCGCCTCACACTGAGAGGCATACACCCCTCGGGCCACTCGTGAGCTAGCCGTCTTGCATTGTATCATAGAGAGGGCCTCACCTGTCACTCCCCTTCCTATTTTTTGGTTACTGTCACCGTGAGGCCAACATCCTGCCACAACGTTCGGTGACCACACAAAATCCCCTTACGCCAAGCATAGATAGAGCCTCTCAAGCCACTTGGCAACTAGCAGGGCCTCACCAGTCACCAAAAAACACCAAGCCGAATCGTTTCACCTTACGGCTTAGCTAGCAAGCCAGTACAAGACCCCTGGTTACAAATAATAATTGCAATCTTTATTGTTATTTAAGTATTTCTCAAAAAGATGGTGAAGAATCACCTCTTCCTAGCACCCTGGCTAGAATTGGTACACCTTCAAGCAGCTGAGATGTTGCTAGTCCAGCAGCAATCAGATCCTGGACAATCCCACACATTATCACCGACCTAAGGAGGTGACAAATCCTCTACCCTGCCACAGCAAGGAAAGCAGAGTTATTCAATCTCGAGTCGGTCACCACAGCCCTCACAAGGCTGGGCCTCACGCTACTGTACAACCAGCACCAACCGAAACTCGGTTACCTGGCACAATCAATTCTTATGACACACAAGACATTCATTAACCCTGCACATATGATCCCAGCACATTGGGAAAACAAGGAATATATATGTATGATGATGTATCTGTGATGGTCAGATCCAGGGATTCTAGGTAAATCGGGAACTGACCATCCCTTGGTTGGGTTGGCATTTGGAATATGTAGAGATGTTTATTTGTGCAGGTACCCATACAGAAGGGATTTTGTCCCAAACAAATGGATGAGCACTCTCAGGCTCCAGGTACCAGCACCTCTGAACTACCAGAGACAATTGATATGAGTCATTGCATTGCATATAGACTGTTGCATATATGTTCAAATGGTTCAGGGCACATGACAAACCATGTGTCCCAATACAACTTACAAATAACGTACTCACCATCTGTAGACACCAATGCATTTTCAACACTACTGACTCATCACCCTTCCAGACCTGTAGTAGATTTACTAAAGCTTTGGAGCTTCAAAGGGCTCCCATACAGGTATCATAAATACACCTTCAAGGAATATAGCATGCCCTCACTTACAGTCAGCACAACAGAACCATTGGCTGTAAACACACTCATAGCCAAGATTTGCAGAGGGGTCTTTACTTGGGTTTTCCAATCTCCACCATTTACAGCATGGCACCAAACACAAACACATTGGTATTGTCACAAGGAAATCTTCTCTTAAACAAAGACTAACCATAGACTTATTGGCACCACACACCTCCGCTACCCCAAGTCTCAACTCCCTCATACCCTCCGAGGAGTTTCCTTACTATACAATACCATTGATCTACCTTTACAGCTATCACTCAAGCATGGGTTGAAGCTTGGTTAAGTAAGACCAATATCATCAATGCAGTAAACGGCTACCATCTACCCTACACACTGGCACTTAGATGGTATAAAATGGGCAATCCTTTCCCCGCTCAACTTTCGGGCTACAGATTAGCCTACTATTGATATTCGCAGATACTCTGTGCTGGTTATGATAACATATCCAGAGGCCTTACAGTCATACACTATCTAGAAGACATCTTGTTGATCAAAGATAACATATTTTTCACAGGAAGCCTCATGGCAGCTTAGTCTGGTTGACCACTTGGGTGTCCCAGTACCCCATAAGAAACAGAAGGCCCAGACACTATCATCACATTACTGTGCATTTGACTTGAG